AAACAAATTCAAGAAAATTTTAATCAAAATCCAAATGTGATTTTTAAAATTAAACTTGAAAATCAAATCCAAAAATTTACCTGAAGATAGTGCCACAGAGAGTAATGTTCTACTGAATAATAAGGCATGCTATAAATGTAGAATCTAACTACTATACTGACAAAGTAGATGATAAAACATCAATAAAAGACTACAGAGATTGCAGAAATAAGCTATATATATGAATTTTGATACTGTAAATGTGGCAATACAAGTCATTGGGGAAAGAATCTCTTTAATCACATCAGATAATGAATATTCACTAAAAAAATAACTTAGATGCTTATAATCATAAATAAAATGAACTAGTTACATTGCACAAATTTGCAGGTAACCTAATCAGTATTATTTCATGACATCTTCTAGGGATCGTTAGCCACTGGGTACGGAGCGGATAAAGAAGGTAGTGGATCATCTATGCTTGAGAGCAATGCCATTGAGGTCAACAATTAGGATTTTCCCAATAGTAAATATTTACTTCTATTGTGAGATCCCTTCTCAAACTATAGTTCAAAAAATAGGATCACTGGGAAACCTTCTAGGGACTAAATTAAGTAATAGAGATACACAGACAAAGATCAGTCCTCACCTTGATAGGCGTGCTATGGAAGCCCTCCAGTCTCTCTTTTGCTTCCTCTATCCACCGCCACCCCAGCTACTACAAAAGTTTCCTAACTCTTCTGATTTCCTTTGTCCCCTTATATGCTTCTACCCCACATTCTAGAGCGACATAATTTTTCTAAAGTATAGCATCTCAGGTATTTGTCCAGCCTGACTCTTGCTGGCTTTTCATGACTTTAAAACAAATTATGATCAATAATTTAAAATATATATATATCATCAATTATATGACTATCCTGATTAAAAATGGTCATCCATTATCTACTGAAATAAACTAACAACTAAGCCAGCATTCAACATCATTCAAATTTCTTTTCTATCCCTCCTTCCCATGGCTCCCCTCTCTGTGTGCAGATCCTCCCACTTGGATCACAGATTACTTAGATGTGATTTTCCCTATTTTGAGCTCCTGCTCGCCTTTAAATACCTCGAGTACCTTCTATCTTTCTGTAGCACTTACTTTACTCTGCTTGCTTTTGTTAAATGAGTCTTATTCCTCCCACTCTCCCCATTAAGATCTTAAAATTTTTTAGTCCAGAAGCTGTATCTTGTTCATCTGTGTCTTCTTGTTAGGACTGAGTACATGAGTACATGTCAGGTACTCAAAAAAACAAGATTAAATTGAATGGACTTCAGTATTCAACTTTTTTTTTTATCTTCTTGCTTCCTAAAGAGACATGCTGCGTAATTCCTACAACAGCATCTGAATTAGCTAGCTAAAATAATATAGCATCTATCCTGCCTGTACTCAGATTATGTACAATTTTTGGTAATATTTGCTAACTCTTAAAATCTGGCTCATTTATGTCACAGTCTTAAGATGTCATGCATATTCCAGTACGCTTATTTCCTCATTAACAACTCTTTTTATTCAACATTCCTAGATTGATTCTGACTGGACTTGTACTTGACTGCTTATTTACATAGTTACAGAGACTTATTAGTCTCACTAGTGGTTTTTCAGCTTTCTAGCATCCAGGGTATGGTCACTCCATTCATGGAGTAAGCACAAATAAAATTGTCTCCACATTGTCAGCGTAATGTAAATAGAGACATACATGGGAGTCATTATCACAAAGGCATAGTAACAGACCAAATAACCTCTCACAGAAGAAGGAAATGGTATAGGGTAAAACTGACCTGAGATGAATATTCCACTATCCCCATCACCTCTTTTCCCACTGTGCTTTGAGGAAAGACTCAGTGAAGAATCTAGAGAGCTATGGAACTCTGGAACTCCCAATGTGGAAAGGCAATGGGATGCAATTAACACCCTGCCGCATTTTTTTATTATTACCTTATGCTGCAGAGAAGAAATGTCTAAAAGGTTATTTAAATTCAGTATAAACTTCTAGCAATCACAATTTTAACTGCATAACTGCAAAACATTTCTCTCATTGTTGAAATAGAAAGAAGGCTGTAACGCATGCTGCCTACTTGTTTCAGGACTCAGTTATTAACCTCTAAGAATTTTTTCTAGGAGAAAAGCCTCTTTCTCTAGCAAATGCATCCTGAGACTGGGACTTAACCTAAAATCCTAACTCCTGTCTTGGACCATGTCGACACTTCAATCTCTGTCATAAAAATACCCTGAACAATATTTCAGACACAGGAATATCAGAGCTTTTCTTTTTTTAATTGGCAGCTAAAAAATAATTTTTAGCAGTCACAGAAATGAAAAGCTACCTTGTTCTCCAATACACAAACATACACACGTAAAAAAATGCATAATATGCAGTCTGATTACTCAACAGCAAATCACTGCAAACACAAGAAAAGACCTGGTTCCTGTTTCCATAGCAATGACTTTATGTGGTTTAACTCTTCTGGGAATTTAACCAAATCCCCAGCAGCAGGAGAAAATCATCAGCAAAAATTTTGTAACATATGGCAACTGCCAACACATCAGTGAGGGAAAAATACTTTTATTTTCTCTTCCTTCTTTTCTACTGAGAGGGATACCTTCATGTCAAGCTGTTGAAAGAAGCATAGAGATTTTGTTGGTCACCCTGCACTTAACTCAAAATTTTTAAATACTAGGTTTCTTCTTCCTTAGATTGAAAGAGATGTTGGTCCCCAGCCAGCTCTGCAGCTCATGCATCCCCAGAATGACATGTGGACATGGCCAAGAGGTACATACAGATTCCCATGACTCACAGTTTATTCATCCTAAAGAAAAACTCCATCTGCAGGGTCATTTCTCGGGAAAGAATGCAAATGGAATTTTATTCTCTGTTTTGCTTTTAAAGCCATCCTCATCATGGGGTAGTGTGTGTGTGTATGTGTGTGTGTGTGTGCACGCTGCACATGACACTTTTTAGTTCTACTTATGGCCCAATGATTAAAGTAAGAGTTTTTTACGGGAAAATAATAGATGTGGTACTTTTCATGATTTTCTTTAGTTCAAGCAGCCGTGTATCTCGAAGGCTCTTCCAAGTATCAAGATAGAGGCGGTCCAGCTCAAGATACTTAAGTGCTCTCTTCAGTATGTCTTTGTAAGAACAAAGATTGTGAGGCACCTGGGTGGCTCAGTAGGTTGAGCGTCTGCCACTTTGGTTTTGGCTCAGGTCACGATCTCAGAGTGGTGAGATGGAGCCCTGCATCAAGCCCCAGGTCGCGCTCCACGCTCAGCACCGAGTCCTCCCTCTCCCTCTCCCCCTCCCCCTGCTCGTGCTCTCTCTCTGTTTCTGTCTCTCTCTTTCACTCTAAAATAAGTAAATGAAATATTTTTAAAGAAGAATAAAGATTGTGCTCAATATGCAATATGCAATTAATACCCAATGAAAATGATCGTCTCAGAATGAAGAAACACCTCCAGTGACAAGGAATGCGTTACTTTCCAAGAAACCCATTCAATTTTGAACCATTTTCAATGTTAAAAGAAGTTTCTCATGCTGAATCTAAAACTACCTCCTTTTTGCTTGTGCTTCTAGCCTTACCATCTGCATTAGCTTTGTACTTCCAAGGAGACAGAGATTATGCCCAACATTTCTTCTACATGACAGCACCTCTCAAACCTGAGGCCAGCTCACGTCTCCTGTTTTCCACCCATCAGAGTCCCCCTGTGACCCCGTGTATTCCTCACTGGTGCTGTTTCCACTCTCCTCCCTATTCTACCTCCTTCTAGACATAGGTTATTTCACCAATGACATTTTTCACTCCACTCTTTTAAATGTAAAGTAGAGCTATTAAACAAAAATGCCATCAGTTGCCAGGCAGGTAACTCAACTGTGTGAAGCATCTTCAGGTAAGGCCACAAGGAGTGGTGTCGATCGTGGTGACTTAGAGAATGAGTTCCCAGCCTGAGCACTCAAATTTGCGTAGCTCAAAACACTGTATACACACACACACCTGGGACTACAGTCGTGATCCTTGACTTCAATTACCCTGATACCAAATATTAAATTAATAAGGTATATCTGAAAATTTGAGGACTTGAATAAATTTTCCGATTAGGCTAGGGGAGAGGGGACAGAAGTCGTCTGTGTCCTAGGGCCACTCTGGCAAGGCATCATGAGAATTTCACCCATCAACTTTCTTTCAAAAGTACACTGAAAAAATATAAACCAAACTCAGCATTCTCTTGTTGCTTGGTATCTTATATCAGGTAAGCTTGTTCTTACAGCTGAGTAAATAATGTACAGACCATCCGAAAAGACACATCATGACTGAAAACTAATAATAAAAAAAAAGTTGGTCTGAACAATAGATAAAGACCAATTATCAGACTATTAAGAAAGTTCACATTATTAATTTCTATACTCCATTAACTGTTTCCTTTGCTAAGAGTTAAAATATTTTGTTGTTGTTTTTTTCAAAAGCATACACTGCTTCCTTTGTGTTTAAAAGTTCTAGTGCTGCCTTCCAAAGTGCATGCAAATTGTCTGTCTCCCTGTTAACCACAGACACCTTCAGGAGCCAACTAACGAGGAGCCAGACCTTTTCTGTGGTTGTGGCCCAGGGAAGGTCGTTGCTCTCCGTTTGTTTGGAACCACAAGATATCAATCTACAAAAGCTTGATCTAATCACCACAAGCTCCAGGACATAGGACATGGGACCAAAAAGGAGTCAAGCTTTTCCTCAGATCGGTGGAAAATCACATGTCTCATCACTATAAGCATGTGGCCAGTGACACTTACATGGGTAATTAATGGTCTTGAAGCTGGAGTCTTCCACATACAGACTCCCCTACAGAAGCAGCCCTTGGGCTTAGCCCCACCTGATTGTTTAATTATTGAATCATCATCCATGCCTTTCAACATTCTCTTTACAAATTAGAGTTCTATATCCATACGCAAATATTCATTCTCTAGAAAAGAATAAATAACTTCTTGGTTTACCTCTGTCCGCCATCTTTGATCCAGGGGGCTTGTCTGGGACAATAAGATGGTCCAGGTTGCTATTCAGTGAAGAAGTGTCATCACTAGACACAGAGTTCAAAAATCCACTTTCTGATGTGGCAAAGCTGTTGTCCAGAGCCCTGCAACTGTTTGCCTCTGAGGGTGCAGGTGATTGAACATGCACAGCAAATGTTATAGACTGTCCCTCAACGTCAGCACCGGCGGAACTATTCACCATGTCGATCCAGGACTGTCTCTCTCTAGATAAGGAGGCCAAACTGCTCTGTGTCTTTATTGTACTTCCCGAGGAAGAGGAAGAACAGGATTTGGGTGAAGAGGAAGATGCCTGCTGTGCAGCCTGTTTCACAAATAAAACCAAAAAAAGAATAAAATAAATCATGATTAAACTGGCATTCTCTACTTTCCATTTTCAATGAAGGTACACCAATGTTTCAGAAACAAATTATTAGTAACAAATCATTTTTAAAACCATTCACAAGTTTTGGGTTCATTTTTTTTCATTTGTTTTACCAACTGTAATTCAGAATAAAAGCGTTTTGTTCTCGTATTTAACCCTTTTTTTCCAAACAGCTGAAGACACCATATTTAACTTTGTATCTCAGTGATGGGGGAATAGCTGCCTTGGCCCTTGCGTTAAGGTCATGAGCATGACCTTAATTCTCACACTTCATGTGAGGATTATTAGTGCAATCCCTTTTTATTCTGCTTGAGTTAAATTTGCTATAAGGGGAAAGCAATAATTTTTTTTTTATTTTTTTTTTTAGGCATCGTCAGCACACGTTAGATTTAAAATCAAGAGTATAGGGGCGCCTGGGTGGCTCAGTCGCCAAGCAACTGCCTTTGGCTCAGGCCATGGTCCCAGGGTCCCGGGACCGAGTCCCCCATCAGGCTCCCCGCTCCACAGGAAGCCTGCTTCTCCCTCTCCCCCTCCCCCCGCCTGTGCTCCCTCCCTCACTGTGTCTCTGTCAAATAAATAAATAAACCCCCCCCCAAAATAAAATAAAATCAAGAGTACAAATGAGATCACTCAGGGGTAGTATACAGAGTAAGAACAGAGAGCCAAAAACAAAGTTCTGGAAGGCTAGTAAGGGAACCAACAAAGGGGACTGAGAAGGGACCACAAGACAGGTGGAGAGAAAACTAGGAAAGGGGTACCACAGACACGAAAGTTTGTAAAGGGAGTAGTCCAAAAATGCCAAAGCATGGCAAAAATAACATAAAAAAGATAATGATATGATAAGCATGGATCTTATTTTGCTGGACCAGAACTTCCAATTTTTGTGCCCTGCTCCTCTGTTTGACTCAGCTCTAGGGACTGTGTCAAATTCTTTTTTATGAACTTTCGGAGATCTGATTTCTCTTCCAGACGCGTCTGCAGATTGAGGAACTCGCGGTAGCAGTGATTCACAGTGTGGTAGGCCACCTGCTGCAGGCCACTGCTGTTCTCACCATCCAGGGCTGTCTCATACTTCACCGTGTAGAGTGTGTATGGATGGAATCCATTGCCACTGTGCTCTCGAGCAGTAATGGTACCAGTGATATGAAGGTTCTGGATGACAACTGGGCCATCTGGACTGGTCAGGGGCTCAAAACTGAAGGTGGCTGAGCTGAGAGGACCACTTGGAGAGGAGGAAAGCAGAGCCTGTGGCAGATTAGGATCTATGGAGCTCACACCATCGGTGAGAGCCTTCTCTAAGCATGAGGGTTGTGGGGGGCAGGTCCTTCCTGGATCTGTCAGCAAAGCTGTAAGAGAGGTGACATCTCCTTGCTCTACTTCCTTGTCTGCTGTGTCAGTGTGGATCTCTGGGCAGGAAGTCAGCATGGAGACCAGCAGCCCTGTCTCTGTTTCTGTTCCTGGACCCAGCTCGGCCTCTGCTCCTTCAGTTCCTTCGGATCCCTCAACATCCTTAGACTCCAGAGACTGGGGACCCTCCAGGGTTCACAGGGCATCCTGGATCCTGTCAGAGAGGAAGTTGCCTAGGGTCATGAGCATGATGGTTTCCTTGCTCAGTTCAGACAATGGAGACTCCAGCTCTGTGTCTTCACATAAGAACAAAGGGCCTCGAATATCTGGCTGTAGGAAATGAGATGAGTTGTTTCCTACTTTTCTTTCTTCTGGGACTCCACCCAATTCTCCCTCTATTACTTCATGGCCTTCTTCAACTTCTGGGGAGTGATGGGAAGGCCCTTCTGGCTCATTACAGTTCAGTAGCACTGGCGCTGCTGCTGGAGAAGGGGCTCTCACTTCTGGCAGGTTCTGTACCTCAACAATCAGTGGCAGAGATGTGGGCAATGAGGGCTTTTCCAGGGCACTGGCTGGGGAAGTTGGTTTAACCACTGCTGTCGGATTATTTCTGGCCTTGGAAAAGATGCCCACAAGTACAAGGTGGATCCAGTCAGGATCTGACAGCTTGCTAATCAGTGGTAAGATTACATTGCAAGTAATGAGTTCCACCTACATGGCGACCGGTCCGGGTCTCCAAGTGGGGCTTTGGCACTAGTCCTTGAAGCAATAAATTTACAATGCCACGTGTATAAGCGACCTCAGTGCTGGCGCTTTGCACAGCAAGATGTGGTGCAGTAGCTCAGCAGTAAGCCTCCCAGAGCTGGGAGGGCTCAACTGTACCACTCTGCTTCCCAGCCAGGGCTTCCTTCGCCTGAATATAGCTCTGCAGGTGACAACCGCAGAGAGTCAGAACTCTCTGGGCAAGGGCATGACTGTCCACCATGCCCATCTTCCTTCAGAGCTCCTGGACCAACCCTCTCATGGCAGCCTCCATTTTTCCTCAAAGGCTGGCTCCTGGCTCACTGAGCGATACCAGGACGACACAAAGTCCCGAATAATCATCTGGATGGTGCGGTCGATCTCCAGTTCCAGTTGCCTCTCTGCCTCAGGGTTTGGAGGGTAGGTGGCCACTGGGATGAAACGTTCCAGGTGCAGTCGACCTGAAGCCCCCACAATGGCGTTTGAGCCCAGCCATCCTCCCAGCACCGCTAGCAATGCAGACAGAAGGCATAGGAGCCACACGTTGACCCGAAAGTGGATGACCAGGAGCCAGCCGAGCACGATCCCCACAGCCATCAGCTTCCGGCTACTCAGCAGGTTACTGAGGTTCCAGCTGGACTCAGCTGGAGCCTCTTGTAACGAGGACACTGTCTCTACCTTCATGGCTAAAAGGGGCAGATGGCTACTCAGACGATTGATCACCCTCTTTCTACTTCACTTGAGGTCGGGAATGAGACGTTAACTGTGTACGGAGACAAGGCTATCTGGCGTGCTATTCAGGGCCCCGGGCGGAGCTCTGGGCCCTCGGCGTCCTACAGGCACTGCAAAGCGACAGGGGCGGTACTGCTTCTCCCCCTCGCTCCAGCCCGTTCCAGCCAAGACTCCGCAGCCTTCATAACGGAGGTCGGAGAGCCTCCGCGCTGCCTGGGGAGGGCGGGGAAGGGCCTACGGCGCCCCTCACCCAACACTTACAGACGGCGAACACGGGGTCATACACCGCTGGGGGGCGTGCCCAGACCGAGTCCCGATGTGCGGGGGTCACAACGGTGTCTTCGCCGCCGCCCTTGGAGGAACCCTCCGCCGGGCTGGGGTCCCCGGACGACTGCCACCAGCAGCCCGGCTTTTGTCACGGCTGCCGCCGGCGACGACTTCCAGCGGAAAGCAATAATTCTTAAGCTTCCTCATTATTTAATTTGAAGATTCTTTAACATATCACAGGAAATTCCATTATAAAACTTTTACAAAGGCTTGATAAAATACACTGAGAGAGAATTGGCCTGTTTGTATTCCGTATTTCCGTTAGTTGCCACAAGGGATGAAGTTAAGATTATATTTAAATTTAAATTCCATTCTACTTCTTATGGATCTACGTCCCCATGTTTAACTGACATGCTGGAGACTCAGTTGTGTGCTATAATGTCTTATTAAAGAAGATACTAAAGAAACCTAAACTAGTCTAAAGAATCAGAAGAAAAATGTGTGATATTTATATTCACATAACAAGAACTATGATGCCATTGTCCAAAACCAATTTGTATAGCTTTAAATTCTCTGTTTTAGGATCTGAAAGATCTCCATAACATGATTTACCCTATTCTTCAATGCTCCCTAGAAATGTAAAATGCCCTTTTGGGGGATTCTTTGAAATACTGAAGGATACTTTGAGCAAAAAAATAGATTGTAATTGATTACTGAATTCTCACTGATTGAGCAAAAACTCTTGAGAAAGGTAATTAAGAGAAAGAAAACAAAAGCTGAAGCCGGACAGGAAGCAAAATATTAACTGAGTGGAGACTACAGATGTGTACAAAGTACATATATTTAAGTTCTCCAATATCATTTACTTATTTCTTAGCACACACCTACTAATAGCTCATAACTACATAGGTGAAATCATGTTAGCTCATTAGCTCTTTAATAATTTAAAACCTTTAATAAACTTTGGGGCACCTGGGTGGCTCAGATGGTTAAGCATCTGCCTTCAGCTCAGGTCATGATCCCTGGGTCCTGGGTTCGAGCCCTACATCGGGCTCCCTGCTTGGCGGGGAGCCTGCTTCTGCCTCTCCCTCTACTCTTACCCCTGGCTTGTGCTCTCTCGCTCTATCAAATAAATAAATAAAATCTTTAAAAAAAAATAAAACCTTTAATAAACTTGACCAAAAAAGAATCCATCTGCACGCTCTTGGGAGACTAGGAAAGATGGCGGAGGAGTAGGTGACCCTATTTCAACTGGTCCCCAGAACTGAGCTGGGTATCTACCAGACCACCCTGAGCACCCACGAAACCAGCCTGAGATATAAGAAGATCTGGATCTCTACAAACAGAATATCGCAGGCAGTTGGTTTCGAGGTACGAAGCGGGGAGCCCTGATTCCGCGGGCAGAGCAGATATCGGAGGATAAACGGCAGCGGGAGGGAGCCTGGCCGTGGGGATCCTACACCTCCAGTGAGCGACAGCCTCCCGCGCTGGGGACGGGGCACAGACTCGCAGACCGGCAGTAGCGGGGAAAGGACTTTAGGGCAGCCCCTGGGTGGAAACCCGGAGCGGAGGGGTCCCGCGTGCAAACTGGGGACGGCTGGCGGTTTTAGAAGCACAAAGGGCAGAGACGTGCTCCGACCTGGAGGCAGAACTGGGGGCGCTGCGGAAGGGCACACATCCCAGGCCGCTGCAGTTTATAGCAGCACGGACAGAAACGGAGACGGTGTGGCCTGGAGAGCTCACTGAAGAACAGACTGCTGTCCCTCTGCTCTGAGGCAGAGGGTTGGAAACAGTCTCTTCTGCTCTGACGCGCGGAAAAGATGCGGAAAGCCGCCAGGGAAAGCCACCAGAGA